CAGGTCCTTCCTCCATCAGGTCCTTCCTCCATCAGGTCCTTCCTCCAGCAGCTGTTAGACTCTACAACCATCACTGCTCCAACAAACTCTACAAGGATTAAATACATGCTGACCTCTGCTGAAACACACACTCTGCCTGTAACACTGTGCTGTCAATACTCTATCCTTATCAATGTTCCAATACATATTGAACATTATTATTGATATTGTTTATCTTATTTCTTATATATTGTTTTTAACATTTAGGAACTTTTGTGTGAATCTTTTAATCTTTTTATCTGTTGCTGCTGTTACACTTGAATTTCCATCCTTGGGACAATAACGGCTGTTTCTATTCTATTCTATTCTATTCTATTCTATTCTATTCTATTCTATTCTAACTATTTAGAGTTAATGGAAAAACAAGAAGTAACCTGACCAACAGCTCTCCTTGTTTGAATAGAACATGCTCTGCTTCTCTCACACCTTCTGTCACAGTCTAAGAAACACAGCGTAGCCTAAGTTAAGTTTTACAGAAAAAATCACTAGTCACTATGAAACAATGATAATAATCACTCCTTCTTACCAGTGGTTAGCATAAAGCAGTATGCTCATCCTCCACCATGTTTATTAGTAGCTTAAAATGCCTAATTAAACTGCAGTAATGGTGTTACTTGAGGCATTTAGTGAGACATTTATTTCTTATCGACCAACATTAAGGCAAATAAGACAAAAAAAATAAATTCCAATCTACTAATAACTTGAAATAGTTCCTGCAGTGGATGTTTTCATGCCATAGAGCGACACACAGGGCACGTACTCAGTGAATTTCAGTTTATAAGAGTAAAGTTTACATTACACAACCTATGAAACACTTTGTACAAAATCAGTTTAGTGTTAACTGATCGTAAACAAAGACTAAACTTGTACAACCATAAAACACAACTAGCATTAACCTTTCATTTACCCATTAATTCATGTAATTATGACAAATAATGGAGGATTTACCTGCAGTTCCCTTCGTACAGACCAACATGTACTTCCTGTTTATAACGGCCATGTTGGCCGCTGGCCTTTACCATCTTTACATTTTTACAAACTTTGTTTAGTTTTTGAAATGGAATAAAGTGCATCCACTCTAAACTCTTTCTCTAAATCTAAAAAAGTTAAATCTGGTCCTCTGGACATTCAAAAAAACAAAAAAAAAAATCAACAAAAATTCTAGAAACGTTTCGTCTCTCTTCCAAGAGACTTCTTCAGTCTGAGGTGCTGTATTCAGCTCAGTCTCTTAAATAGCACCTTCTCAGAGTGGATCAACCAGTTTTGCTGCTGACAACCAGAACCAGCTGATCACATGCTCAAGAAGGACCATCAGCCTAACAATGGATCATTAGCACCTGATGGCTGTTTACTGTTCACAGAGGGCTGAGTGATACTAGCAATCACAGCATTGTAAGAGGGGGACAGTTGAACCCGGAGGCTCCACCCCTGTTTAATGATGGACGGTTTCTTTTCACAAAGATGGCCTCCTTTACTCCTCTCTCAAACCATCGTTCCTCTCTGTCCAGGATGTGAACATCTTCATCCCTGAAAGAGTGACCGCTGGCCTGGAGATGAGTGTAGACCGCAGAGTCCTGGCCTGATGATGTTGATCTTCTGTGCTGGGCCATCCTTTTGGCCAGTGGCTGTTTTGTTTCCCCGATGTAAGACTGATCACCCTCCTGACACTGAACAACATACACAACATTACTCTGTTTGCGTTCCTGTTGATGATGCAGTAGAGGTGGTCAGTTTAAGATTAAAATCAGACACCACTCTGAGCAGCAGGACCACACTTTCCACAGAACAACTGTGTCAACTCTTGAAACTGTGCCTGCAGTCAACCTACTTCACATATGGGGAGCAATATTATAGGCAGAAACATGGGTGTGCTATGGGGTCTCCAGTTTCTCCTATTGTTGCCAACCTGTACATGGAGGAGGTAGAAAAGAGAGCCTTGACGTCCTTTTCAGGGACACCACCAAGTCATTGGTTCAGGTATGTTGATGACACCTGGGTTAAAATCAAATCTCAGGAAGTCCAACATTTTACTGACCACATCAACTCTGTGGATAAATACATCAAGTTCACACGAGAAGATGTAAAAAATGGCAAGTTGGCTTTCTTGGACTGTGAGGTCTCAGTCTCTGATAGAAGACATTTGCAAACCGAGGTGTACTACAAACCCACCCACACAGACCAGTATTTGCAGTTTGACTCCCATCACCCTTTGGAGCACAAGTTAGGAGTCATCAGGACTCTGTACCACAGAGCAGACAGCGTCCCCACTAGCTCAGGAGCCAGGCAGAAGGAGAAATCCTACACAAGACAGGCTCTAGAGCAATGTGGATATCCTAACTGGGCCTTCCTGAAAGCAGAGAAGAAACCCAAACAGGACTCCAGTCAGCCAACAGGTGAAAAGGAGGAACCCAGACCCAGACCAGTGGTCATTCCATATGTTGAGGGAGTATCAGAGAAACTGAGATGTTTATTTTCTAAACATAACGTCCCAGTGGCTTTTAAACCCCAAAATACATTAAAGACTGGTTCATCCCAAAGATCCAGTCCCCCGGCACAAACAGAGTAATGTTGTGTATGTTGTTCAGTGTCAGGAGGGTGATCAGTCTTTCATCAGGGAAACTAAACAGCCACTGGCCAAAAGGATGGCCCAGCACAGAAGATCAACATCATCAGGCCAGGACTCTGAGGTCTACACTCATCTCCAGGCCAGCGGTCACTCTTTCAGGGATGAAGATGTTCACATCCTGGACAGAGAGGAACGATGGTTTGAGAGAGGAGTAAAGGAGGCCATCTTTGTGAAAAGAAACCGTCCATCATTAAACAGGGGTGGAGGCCTCCAGGTTCAACTGTCCCCCTCTTACAATGCTGTGATTGCTAGTATCACTCAGCCCTCTGTGAACAGTAAACAGCCATCAGGTGCTAATGATCCATTGTTAGGCTGATGGTCCTTCTTGATCATGTGATCAGCTGGTTCTGGTTGTCAGCAGCAAACTGGTTGATCCACTCTGAGAAGGTGCTATTTAAGAGACTGAGCTGAATACAGCACCTCAGACTGAGGAAGTCTCTCGGATGAGAGACGAAACGTTTCTAGATTTTTTGTTGATTTGCTTTGTTTTGTTTTTTGAATGTCCAGAGGACCAGATTTAACTTTTTTAGATTTTTCTACCTGGATTATTGAGCATGCATCTGTCTCTAAACACACGCGTCATATTTCCATCTATTCATGTTCACTGACTGATTATATTTAACAACAAATATGTTCTTAATCTCACCGGGACGGTACCTGGTAAAATAAAGGTTAAAAAAAATAATATATTACAAGGATTTTAATGATCAGATAATTTATTAGTGGAGTTTATGAAGGGTACACAAAATCTGACTTCCTTGACATTTCAGCATTAAACTATTTTTCAGATCCTGTTTGTGAACCAAATTCTAAAACCACTAAACTAATGAAGCTGTTCTGCCTGCAGAGTTCAGTGTTTCTGTCTAATCCAGCAAAGTCCAGTCAGCTCCTCTGGACACTTACGACCTCCAGAACCCGTCCAGAGGACCTGACTGGACTTACCATACCACGTTATTTATAAAGCACTTAAAACAGCGATAAGGCCAACCAAAGTGCTGTACAGACAGAACAACAGGTAACACACAAAGCAAAATACAAAATGAGGTAAATCAGAATATAGACATAAAAACGATGCAGATAATGACGACAAACCAGTGTGGAGCAAACAGGATCAAACACAGATCATCTGGTGTTGAAAGCTACTGAATAGTAGAGAGTTTTTAAACAGGACTTGAAAACAGAGAGGGAGGGGCCTGTCTGACAAGCAGAGGTAACTCGTTCCAAAGTCTTGGTCCTGCTACAGAGAATGCCCTGTCACCTCTGCGCTTAAGACGAGTTCCTGGAACTGTGAGGAGCAACTGGTCCTCTGACCTCAGGGAGCGTGGTGGGACATACGGTTGTAGCAGATCAGAGAGATGGGGGGGGGGGGGGACTGTTCAGTGATTTGTAGACATACAGGAGTATTTTGAACTGGATTCGAAAGTGAACTGGTAACCAGTGCAGTGAGGCCAAAACTGGTGTAATGTGCTGTCTTTTGCCTGTACTGGTTAAAACTGGGGCTGCTGCATTCTGGACCAGTTGTAGTCGTGCAATGGAGGTCTGACTGATACCAAACAGGAGTGAATTGCAGTAATCAAGCCTAGATGTAATGAATGCATGTATTACTGTCTCCAGGTTGTTTTTGGACAATATGGGCTTCAGTTTAGACAGCCGCCTCAGTTGGAAGAAGCATGATTTAACAATCATGTTTACATGATTGTTAAGTTTCAGGGAAGGGTCCATTATCACGCCCAGATTAGTGACTCTTTGTTTTTCTGACAGGGTTAGAGCGGAGAGGTCGATGCAGTGGTTTGTGATCATGTCGTTGGGAGGGAACAACATGACTTCAGACTTCTTTTCATTGAAACTTAAGAAGTTTAAAGCCACCCAGTCCCTGATGTCAGCCAGGCAGTTGAGCAGCAGTTGAATAGAACATGTGCCATTGTGTCTTAGGGGGAAGTAAATTTGACAGTCATCGGCATAGCTGACTTTGCTGGATTGTTCTACCTGGATTATTGAGCCTGACTCAGGAGGTTTCAGTTTTACCTGCTCCATCACAACATTCATTTACTGCACACACATCTGAGCCGTGCGCTCTTTGTACCGACAGCTTTCGAGTGGTGGGGGTGCGTTCAGCGCGAGGGAAGAGGCTGCTTTGAGCTTTTTAGCTAGCACACCTGTATTGCGAGATGCTAGTTTAGCGTTACGTCAGTGCCGGCAGGCGGTTGGGGGGTCGGCGGGGCGCTCGGTTCTGCTGATGGGGCGGAGCGCCCCACTTGTATAATGGTCGGGGAAACACTGCTGTTCTTTAATAGTGTTAAAACAATTTCTATACTATTTGAAACATGGGATGTTTTTCAATCAAGACACAATGAACAATTTTTAAATTTCAACTTCCAAAAATGACTGTTTTGAGAAAATTAACAGTATAGTATCAAAAAACACTTTTAAACTTTACCTAGTCGCACAAAGAACATAATAAATGTTCAAATTAAAGTTTGGCTCTGACCTCACCTGTCGTGCTTCCCGGCCCCTCCTTCCTGAACAGGAAGTCGTCCAAAACGCCTCCGTCAGGTGAAGCACAGCAAAACCACTGAGCCGCAGCACAAGTGTCCCTGGATTCAGACGACTGAACAGAAAATGACATGAACGCAGCGTGTCCAGCTGTGTGTCCAGCAGCTGTCCAGCTGTGTCCAGCTGTGTGTCCAGCAGCTGTCCAGCTGTGTCAGCTGTGTGTCCAGCAGCTGTCCAGCTGTGTGTCCAGCAGCTGTCCAGCAGTGTGTCCAGCAGCTGTCCAGCTGTGTTAGCTGTGTGTCCAGCTGTGTCCAGCTGTGTCCAGCAGCAGTGTGTCCAGCAGCTGTCCAGCTGTGTCAGCTTTGTGTCCAGCTGTGTCCAGCAGTGTGTCCAGCTGTGTCCAGCAGCAGTGTGTCCAGCTGTGTGTCCAGCAGCTGTCCAGCTGTGTCAGCTTTGTGTCCAGCAGTGTGTCCAGCTGTGTCCAGCAGCAGTGTGTCCAGCTGTGTCCAGCAGTGTGTCCAGCATTGTGTCCAGCATTGTGTCCAGCTGTGTGTCCAGCTGTGTGTCCAGCATTGTGTCCAGCAGCATTGTGTCCAGCAGTGTGTCCAGCTGTGTCCAGCATTGTGTCCAGCTGTGTCCAGCAGCAGTGTGTCCAGCAGTGTGTCCAGCTGTGTCTAGCAGCAGTGTGTCCAGCAGTGTGTCCAGCTGTGTCCAGCTGTGTGTCCAGCTGTGTCCAGCAGCTGTCCAGCTGTGTGTCCAGCAGTGTGTGCAGCTGTGTGTCCAGCAGTGTGTCCAGCAGCAGTGTGTCCAGCTGTGTCCAGCTGTGTTCAGCAGCAGTGTGTCCAGCAGCATTGTGTCCAGCTGTGTCCAGCTGTGTGTCCAGCTGTGTGTCCAGCAGCAGTATGTCCAGCTGTGTCCAGCAGCAGTGTGTCCAGCTGTGTCCAGCAGCTGTCCAGCTGTGTCAGCTGTGTGTCCAGCTGTGTCCAGCAGTGTGTCCAGCTGTGTTCAGCAGCAGTGTGTC